TGTGTGTGTGTGTGTGTGTGTGTGTAGTGGCTATATTATGTCGATATTACCCAAACTAAAGCGGCCTCCGTAGTCTAGAGGTAACGTTCCCACCTCATGACTCGTGGTACGCGGGTTCAAACCTGGCGGAGGTCGTGGAATTTTTAAGGGCGGAAAATTTCAGGGAACAAGTCCTCCGGGAGGGACTTTAAGCCGTGGGTCCCGTGTCATAGCTTAACGGCACGTAAAAGAACCTTATATCTCCAAAGGAGGTCACTGAGCCAAATTCAAGGTCATTTCCCGCCAAACAGTAGTCTCTAACACCTCTGATAGATGGGGGAAGCATTATAGATACCGCCAAGCCAGTAGAGGCCGAACTCGCTGGCTCGGTCGGGACTGATGGTACGCACCAATATCGGTAGGGTATAGAGACTGGTAGAATATCATAGAAGGAAGCACAATGGACCAATACTGGTCTAAGTGCATGGGGATACGCACCCTCTCCAATAACTAACTAACTACCAAAACTAAGCTCAACCGACCCCAGAACCGGTCTAGACGACGTGGAGAAGAGAAAATTCTTCATCCTACCGGGACTCAAACTCCGACCCCTCGGTCGTCCAGCCCTCAGCCAGTCACTATCCCGACTACGCTATTCCGGCTCCCTATTTTCATATTACTCTTATGAAAACAGCAAAGCATGACGTACAGTCTTGAGCTATGAATACTGTCCAACGCTTCCGAAATAAATCTGTCTAGCTAGCAACACGCGACCATCATATTTTCTAGCGGTATCTGCCAAGGCCTCTCGCGAAAGCGAGAGGAGAGAGTTCTTATATTTGTCTCAGAATGAAGAGCACAGCCGTAGGCTTACAGCATACACTGGGAAATAGCGACCGTTGCTATGACGCTATGCTGTTCGTTGTACAGTAATATTAATTTGTATGTATGAGGCGAACAACAGTTTACCGTATTTTAGACCTGGCCTCCGGCTGAAGGAAAAGGGAGACAATTATGGAAGGAAGTAGTGGAGTTGCGTTGTGGGAATGAGGCGATGCGCTGTAATGAATACCCTGTTATAATTCACACACACACACACACACTCACACTCCAGTTCTTGTATCGGTTAGTGGGCTCGACTAAATCCATAAATCCAATCGGCTAAGAACAGGCAGGCCTAAACGCAGGGACGATACATAAATCAACATTGCGCCTTAGTTAGTTTGATATTTATTTCTGGAGAATGAAGCATAATTTTTACTTATGAAAAAGAAGAACGAGGTGAGAGTCGATGGTGAAGGAATATGAGAAGAAAATGAAACAGGGGAATATAAGAGGGAAGAGAAGGAGGAGGAACACAAGGGGAGAGAGAAGCAAACACTGAATTGAATCCATCCTTAGAAAGTAGAAGAAAAAGTTTAAGAATTGCTGCTTGAACCATTCAAAAGCTTGAATTCTCATGTCGACTTCATTTTCTTCCTGGTTTATCTTCGGCTTCAAAGTAATGTAGTTTTCTCGTTATCAGAATTCGGCGTTGAAAGGATAGTATTTGTGACCTTTGGCACTGTAAATAAGTAAAAAATGATGTGTTAATAGCTTATCTCCAGAGCTATATGGCAGTTGTCACACGCTGCTAATCTGCATGAAAGTAATGAATATATAGAATTACCCATAAGCATCAGACATGCAAATTCAGGTAGTTCAAAAGAGGATCCCATGGCAAACCTTCGGCTTCCATAAGGGCAAGGGATTTCTTTGGCAATTACAGGCCTATCAATGAATATCAGGCACCTGAGGGTCAGTAAGAAAGAACATCGTGCCTTCCCCCAAAATATTTGAAATTAATTATTATAACTGCTTTCGCCGCTTGCTTTCGATGTTACTTAAGCTAGCCGTAGACGCCCTTTAGGACTTAATCGGAGTGTAGCAGGGTCAAAGATGGGTTGTACTTGTAGAATGGGATTGGAATAATTGTTGTAACTGGTACGGTAGGACCTAAGGATATGTCAGAGGTTTCATGGTCGCTAGTAGGATTCCGATGTACGGAACAGCTATGAGATTTCGATTGGCCCTACTTTCACAGCTGGGTTCCATGAGTTACCTCAACTAAAGCGGGCACTTAACTGTGTCCCAGGCGTGTTAGTAGGCTATAACTCACATGACCAGGAGGTCACACTCACGCGGCATCCATTTAGAAAACAGATGGTGATATGATATGTTCTGGATGTTTATTAATACAAACATGTGGTCGCACGTCACCCAGGAAATATATAGACAATTACAACGTTTTGTAGATCGATGCCTCCCTAGAATAGTAAAGGTGAGACGGCCAGTTATAGCAACAAATGAGGACCTATGGAAACATATAAATGAAATAAAAAGAACCGAACAGATAACCAGACGTAAAAGGAACTGGATCGGCCATACTCTTTGAAGGGAAAACGCAATCGAGAAGGAGGCTATGGAGTGGAACTCACAAGGACAAAGGAAAAGAGGAAGGGCAAAGAGAACAATACGAGAGGAAGCCTTGGCTGCCGCGAAGACGTGGGGAGAAATTAAACAACTCAACAAGAACCACGTGAGATGGCTACAATTTGTTAATGCCCTGTGGTCCAGTGGGAGCTAAAGGACGATGATGATGATGATGATGATGATGTCGCACAAAAACGATAGTTTGCTTCCTCTGCAACTAAATATTACATATTCTTTATTACTGGAATGGCCAAATAACGACTTCTGTTAAATTAATTAGTGTCTGGCCGCACCATAGCTCAAGCGGTTAGTCGCTGGCTTCCCAACGCGGCGGTCCGGGTTCGATCCCGGGTCTGGTCACGTTGGATTTGTGGTGGACAAAGTGGCGCTGGGGCAGGTTTTCTCCGAGTACTTCGGTTTCCCCTGCCGATCTTCATTCCACCAATTGCTCCACAATCACCCTCACCTATCATCTGGGGCTGGTACAATAGGCCAGAAGTGGCCGCAGTACAAGGGACTTAGTCCCACCCCACTAGCAATAACAAATTAATTACTGGGTTTATTATTCAAAAATCCGAAACGATTACAAAGTTTATGATTTAGAATTTTGAGCGGGGCGGCTCTCACGCATGTCCGATCTCCATCACTGAAATTTAAAATATCCAAGCGAAGAATATCTGCAGAAAGGCATTCATCCTCCATTTCACAACTTAAACTAAAGACGTCCTCCTCCAGATTCTAATAGACCGGTTTCACAGTTAGGAATGCACAGAAATTTTGCGTTCTCAAATTACAAACAACAATGAGCTCAATTCAGCTTGGGAGATATTAACTACCCGCTACCAACTCCGGTAATTAAATCCAGAAGTAGCGACGGTGCAGGAACCAGGATAGTTAAGTCGGTATACCGACTGGCTACGGGCTGGACGACCGAGGAGTCAGAGTTCGAGTCCCGGTATGGTCAAGAATTTTCTCTTCTCCATGTCTTCCAGACCAGATATGGGGTCCACCCAGCCTCCTATCTAATGGG